CTGTGTGGAGAGTGGCCAGTATTTGTTGAGGAGCTGGCTGGTGCCAGGGTAGGCAGTATAACCTTGCCTTCCAAAAATTCAGAATTGTGCATTTTGGTGGGTCCTGTGTTGCCCTGAGGGACCAGTACAGATGCTTGCCTTGATTTCAGCCCCATCAGCCACAGCAGCTTTCTCCAGCAGCATCTATTGGAAAATTTAAAAGGCCAGTGCATCTTTTCCTTTCCTTCCCCTTAAATCTTTGTCAGGTACTAGCTGAATACAGAGATAATTGAATAGAAACTATAGTGACCAAACACAACAAGGAATACAAAATTTGCAAAGTAGTTTCAAAAAGTGAGACATCTCCAGCCCTCAACAAGTAGAAATCAGCAACGTCTGATGAGTGGGGGAATCAGACTTCCAGAGGTACCACATTATAATACTCAGAATGTCCAATTCTCAACAAAAAATTACAAACTAAAGAAACAGGAAAGTATGTCCCATTCACAAGAAAAAAATCTTACAGTAACCATCCTTGAGAAAGTACAGACATTAAATCAACTGTCTCAAATATGCTCAATGAGCTAAAGGAAACTATGGATCAAGAACTAAGGGAAATCAAGAAAACAATGTATGAACAAAGTGAGAATATCAATAAAAAGAGAGAAATTATAAAAAGGAACCATACAGAAATTCTGAAGCTGAAAAGTAAAATAACTGCAATGAAAAATTCAGTAGAGGATTCAGCAGAAGAAAGAATCGGCAAATTTCAAACAGGTTATTTAAAATTGTTGCATCTGAACACTGAAAAGAAAAAGGAATGATGAAAAATGAACAGAGTGTGAGGGACCTATGGGATAGCATCAAGCATGCCAGTATACACATAGTAGGAGTCCCAGAAAAAAAAAGACAAAAAGAAAGGGGCAGAAAAAATATTTGAAGAAATAATGTCTGAAACCTCCCAAAATCTTACGAAAGACATGAATACACACATCCAAGAAGTTTGATGACCTCAAATAGGACAAACCCAAAGAGATCCACCCCAACACATATTACAGTCAAATTATGGAAACCCAAAGATAAAAAGAGAATTCTGAAAGTAATGAGAGAAGCGACCTATCACGTACGAGGATTCTCAACAAGATTAACAACTAACTTCTCAACAGAAACCATGGAGGACAGAAGGATGGTATATTTAAAGTCCTGAAAGAAAGATCCTGTCAACCAAGAATTCTATCCAGCAAAACTTTCCTTTAGGAATGAAGGTGAAATTAAAACATTTCTAGATAAATAAAAGCTAAGGCAGGTCATTACCAGTAGACCTGCCCTATAAGAAATGATAGAGGGAATCCTTCCAGTTGAAGTGAAAGGACACTAGACAGTAACTCAAAGCCATAAGAATAAAGAATACTGGTAAAGGTAACTGCATAGGTAAATGCAAAAGTCAGTATTGTACTTTTGGTTTGTAACTCCCTTTTCTCCCCTACATGATTTAAAAAGCAAATAAATAAAACAGTAACTATCCCTATGTTAGAGTAACCAGACACCTTGAAAAAAGGGCTGACTTTAGCGGTGGAGTACAGAGACAAGTTTAGCCTAGACACCTTAGTGTGTCTTAAAATAAGGAGGTGCTCAAAGAGTGATGAAGTAGTACGAAAAGAACACAGAAGCCATCATGCAAGGGTTCTCACTGGCCAAATCTGGCACAAGCTCTAATATTTTGAGCTTCAAAATAAATAATGGGAAGAACAGATTACAGCTCATTGACTAGAAATCCAGTATATGAATAAACTGAAACTTTGAAGAGGAACACATATTTAATAGCCTCAAAGTCCCTCCTCATAAAATACTTATTAAAGGAAAAGAGATTAACTTTACTTGGTGGAAGCCTGTAGACACCACCATAATAAGTGCCCAAAGTGAGCAACGCCAGTAATGACAAATCATTCACACTACCTGACAGAATGCAAGGAGAACACAGCATCAATTCTTGAAATTCCTGCCAAAGATCCAAAATCTAAATCTAATCATGAGGAAAGAGCACGCAAACCTAAATGGAGAAACACCATACAAAATAACTGGCCTGTTATCTTCAAAAGCATCATGGACATGCAAGTCAATGAAAAACATAGGAACTATTTCAGATTGAAAGACACTAAACATACCAAAATACACAACAGCAAAACTATATTATCTGGCCCTCATCTATCTCTCTGCTATGGTTTGAATGTTGTCCCCTCCAAAGCTCATGTTGAAACTTACCCCATTGTTAACAGTATTAGAGGGTAATCTGACTATGGTATTTGAAAGTTAGGACTCTTAAGAGGTGACTGGATAATGAGGATCCTATGGACTAATCAATTCATGGGTTAATGGATTAATTAATTAATGGATTATCATATGAGTAGACCAGTGGCTTTACCAGGAGAGGAAACACACTGCTGCTCAGCCCTCTCACCACGTCTCACCTTAGGACTCTGCAAAGAGTCCCCCCACAAGAAGGCCCTCGCAGATGCTGAGCCATGCCCTTGGACTTCCCAGTCTCCAAAACTGTAAGAAATAAATTCCATTTCTTTATAAATTACCCAGTTTCAGGTATTCTGTTATAAGAGACAGAAAACAGATTAAGACTCTCCCTGACCTAATTTCTTAGTACACACTCCTTTACTAACTTTTCTTTGGCCTTCATATAAAGTTCTAATTATGCTCCTTTCCAACTACAGGGCCTTTGCATTTGCTGTTCACTGTGGTTGATCTACTCCGCCCCCAGATTTTACATAGCTTGATCCCAGGTTCCATGTCTTTGTTCAAGAAAGCTTTTCTTGACCATCTTATCTAAATTAGCCCTGTCAATCCCCATCATCTTCTATTCCCTGATATTGTTTACCTTTCCTGAAGAACACAGTTCATTACATGATATTATTTATCTACTTATCACTCTATGTTTCTCACCTACTACAAGGTAAAATACATGAAAATGGGCAAGTTATCAATCTTGTTCACGTTTGTAGTGATAGCGCCCAGCTCAATGCCTAGGTAAGAGTAGGCACTCAAAACAATATTTGCAGAATTTATGAATGAATGAATATATTCACACACACACACAAACTGGAAAGTAGTTGAATCGAACATATAGGTAAAACCATTGTACTGGAAAAAAAAAGAACACTCTCTTCACTGAAATAGGACAGGAAATATGAGAAGAAAGAGAGGCAAATGGATCAAGATGAAGTTCCTTTGGTAGTTCAAACTGAGATCTCTATTTCCTTTCAGGTCTAAGGCCTTCACTCCACAGGCCTTTGTACTGCAAAGCGAGCTTTCCCCACACCATCCCAGCTATCCCTCTTTCTCCTCCTCTGTGACCAGTGAGGCTGTTCCCTGCAATGATGGTCACCCTGCCTTTGCCTTGTCTTCCTTCTTGTGGATTCCTTCTTGTCCTTTCCCTCACAACCATCTGGGGCTCTTCCCTTGCTCCAATAATATCACTACATCTGGCTTAGAAATAGAGTGTCTGCTTGCAAAAAAAGAAATTTCAGTGCCAAATGGTGTAGACATTTTTTTTTAATTATAAGCTTAAAACATTTAGTTAAATTTACAACAAAATAAAACTAAAAATAATATTGATCAAGACTTCAGAGAAGAGAAGAATGATGGGAATGAAGAACATGAGTTGACCTAGGTAGGAAAATGATCTTGTTTTATACTCGTTCAGGCTCCATTTCCTTAGAGCAAATAAAACACAGTGGTTGCGAACACTGACCCTGGAGCTAGACTTCTGATGTTCAATTCCACTGCCTCCCACTGGTTGTGTGACCTTAGGAAGTCATTTAAACTGTACGTGTCTCCATATTCTCATCTATAAAATGGGATAAACGTGGTACCTACCTCCTGGCCTTCTGCGGATGTTGTGAAGGTTAAATAAGTAAATGTATTGGCACTGCTTAGAACAGAGCCTGTTATACAGTATGCACAGTGCTAATTATTAAGATTACTGTCATTACTGTTGTTATTTTAGTAAAAGGAAAAAACAAAAGTTCATGAGACTTTTTTCTAGATTTAACTCAATATTAAATACAAAGTTCACAGATTATAACGTTCAACTTCAAATCTGTTTTAAGTAAAGGAATGTGTTCACTTTAGTATTAAATTAATTCTGTTCATTTAACCCACCCTGATACCTAGTGTAGGGGCTCTTTTGAAAGTCAGAATGTATCAGGACTCTTGTTTCTAGTTCTCCCTGCATGTGGATCAAAAAATAGCAAAGAACAATGCTTGTCACTTTGATGTGCATAAGGACCATTGAGGGATCTTGTGGAAATGCAGACTTTGTTGAGCAGGTCTGGGTCAGGACCTGAATACTGCATTACCAACAAACCCCAAAAGCAGTTGAGGTTAACTATTTGTGTAATACTTCACAATAAAAAGTTAGAACAAAAAAAATTTTTTATTTAAAAAAATTAAAAATCCACAACATATGGACCAAATCATGGCTTCTAATCATTGAGAAAACAGTCCATAATCCTCCCCAAAACAATCTATATTTGTCCCCAAAACAAAAATGTTATCATCTGAGCCCTGCCAATCTCCTTCACTAATTTCTTGGCACTCTCTCCTTCACTAACTCTGCTCTGGCTTTCTTATGGTTCCTCAAACAAAAGAATCACACTTTGAGCAGCAAGGACACACATCTATAGAAAGTGTGAAGTTAAACAGTATGAAACCTGGTTTCTCTGACAGTGGTTATGAAATAAATGTCCTATACTGCCAACCCAGCCCCTGGGTCATAAAAAACAGAAGCAATTGCAAGAAGGGCCTAAGGAAGGTTCAAAGCTCACTGAGGGATGAGGAAGATCAAGATGCTTTAAGAACCCATTTCTAACCCAACAAATATGAAAACCTTCTTTTGGAAATAGGGAGAAGAAATTCACCTGGTTTCTTCAAAGACAGCCCTATAATTTGCAGAAGAGAAAGCTGATGTTGCAAAGAGGAGATTCTAAATTATTTCAGGCAGGTGACCTTACCCAGTGACACCAAGTTACTATAGTTCTCCAACATCACATCCACGTATAAGTCTCTCTGAGCAGGGTCCAGGCACTCCCACTCCTCCTGAGAGAAGTCAATGGCCACATCCCGGAATGTCACGAACCCCTAAAACCAAAAGCCCATGTATTACTTGTGAAATTGAAGAAAATATTTCCAAGAGGACAAAAGAGGCTATGAAGCATACACTGCAAAGAAGGGGAAAATAAAACAATCAAGTAGGCTGGAAGCCTGTGATACAGGTAGAAAAAAGTAAGAAAATCAGTGCAATTAAAGCAGAATGTCTACATGTTCTAGAAAAATCCTATTATAGCAGAAGAAACTTCCTGGATACTAAGAGATAACTGAGCTATCTAGACTTGTCTAGTAATATCTAATATAATCCCAGTTTCTTCTCTATTAAATGAAAACCATGTGTGTGTGTACATATATACACACACATAACCTACTATGTGCCTGCCTCATAAATTGCTTATAAATGTGAATTGCTAACTATCCTTTCCATTTAAGAAATAAGAAAATATGAAAACATTTTTCCAAATACACTATAAAATCCTTAGAAAAATGATTTCCATTAAATTAAGGATTATCATCAAATCTCAAGTAAATTATTGTTAGATTACATCATAAGCATTTTTTCTTATCTCAATGAATAAACAAAATCTTTTTTATTACCTGCAATTCAGTTCATCCTCTGGATAGATGAGATTAATTGCTCTATTATATTTGTACATTTAGATTGAATAAAATTTCTGAAGATTTTAATTCTGGAAATCTATTATCATCTAGTACTTAGGCATCTGAATCATCTTCTTACTTGTTACCACCAACCACCTCTCACTTATCACTTTCCCTGTTCCTGAGTCAGAGGACACTGATGTAGGATGTTGCACTTGACACAGATGTCACCCAAGACCTGAATGTCTTGGTCAATCACAAAATGGACTTGGACACCGGTGTTCATCTCTTACGGAATCCCTATAAAGAACCACTCACTTCCCTCCCTAATCCTAAGAGCCTTGCAAAGCACGCAATCCCACATAAACTGAGGTTGAGACCAAGCAATCCCAAATTCCATTTTGTCTCTCTGGTCTGTGGAGAAGTTCCAAGTTTTCTCATGGGGTCCAGTGGGACCCTCATCACTAACTCATCACATTACAAACTTAACATGGGAATGAGAAATGCTGTTAAGGAAATGGCACAGACCTGGCCCAACAAAGAGGTGATAACAAAAGGCACTATGCAAGACAGCCTGCCACAAATATGCCGGGTTCAACAGCAAAGCTCTTCCAGAGAATGCATCAACAGCTGAAACTGTTCTTTTGGGTGACCATCCAGCTGTCCAAGAGCAGAGTGTCCTGACTGGCTTCTTTGGTAGCTGCCCTCTAATCAGCATC